AGACAACACGCAGAGGAGCTGAAGAGGCAAACTTAGGAGAACAACATCTGCAGAAAGAGAGAAACACATGGAAGCTTGAGAGACAGATACAGTATAAAAGAAAAATAGAACGGGGGAAGGGGTTGGGGGAGAGGAGATAAAAGGTTTATGAAAACTGCGCTTGTTACCATTTGGAGGGCAAGAGTCTCAGGCTGAAACTATGATCAAATGTCAAACCCCTTAAATATCAAAGGAAAGATCAAATATGTGTACATTTTCACACATCCATGTTCTCTCTCCCACACATATGCACCAAGTGTGAAATCTCACCCAACTGGACTCCTTCTTCCTGCCCTGCTCGGCCCAGCTGGACCCCAGGTGATGTCAACTCACCCTGGAGGGGGTAGCGTTGTTGCCATAAGGGTATTTGTCTGGGCGTGTCCACCTCTACCATGCACTGAGTGGACCAACCAGATGAGGCATGAAAGGGACAAAGACAGACATTTGTATGTGTTGAGTTGAATCTTCTTTCTATTGACTCAGAGCGTATTGGTGCTGGCTTGTTAAGTGGTGCTGGCACTTAAGTGTTATTTTGAGGTATCTGTACTTTACTTAAGTATTTTCATTTTTGCTACTTCATACTTCAATTTCACTACATTTCAAAGAAAAACATTGTACTTTGTACAAACAAAATGTTTTGATAGCTTTAGTTACTACAGTAGTGACTCCTCAGAGAGAGTTTAAACCTGTGATTATACAGTATAGTCAGATTTATTGATCCTTGGTGTAAAAGGTAATTAACATAACTACCACATTTACCAGCCGCAACATTAAATGTGATGTACACAATAATTCATCAAAAATTATAATCTAATAATATGATGCACATCAATGTAAACTGTGCCATTTTGCATAACAAGTACTTTTACTTTTGGTACCAAAGTACATTTTACACTAATACCAGAGGTGGGGGACTCAAGTCACATGAATTGACTTGAGTCTGATGTAAATTGTAAATTTGAGGACTCAAGACTTGCTTGACTAACACTGGTAAACAACTACTTGACCTTGACTTCGTATTCGTGACTTGAATCAGACTTGAGGCAGATGACTTGAAAGTTCTTCACTGTTATACAAATTTTATATTTGTACTTTTCTAGATTTTTATATTTTGTTTGTAGCCTTAGCTAATTTATTGGCTGGCCAAAAATTATTTAGAAAGTTAACATAAAGTTTAAGCTGTTCGACGTTCTCACTAGGACACAGGATGTGATGGGAGGAGCAAAGACAAACATATGGTCTCTGTTAGTTTTGAGTCTCCCTCTAGGCTGCAAAGAAATTAGATAGAGTAGTTTTAAGGATGCACACAATATGACCAATTACAGCATAAACATGTAAAAAGATATATGAATGAATGAGATCCAAGTATACATTTGCTCTGTGTGACATGCTCCCACCTCTCTGTATATGTCTCTACTGATGAATGCCCCAGTATGTACTCTGTATTGATTATTGCAATTATGCACTATTACGGTTCTATTATCTGCACTGACTGTCTTTAATTACACTAGAGAGCAATAGAAACTGTGAAGAAGGAGAGAGGCAGTCTTATGTGAGAGAGAGAGACACTCCACAGATAGATAGATGAAGCGAGACACTACAGTGAACTAATTAAAAAAGAAACTTTTTGTTTCAGTAAGCTGACAGGGAATGAATCTGGCAGGGAATTAATCTGTCCACAGGGAACACAGTGAGGAGTTATACACCCTCACACACACGCACACACACAAACACACAGGGCGGTGCAATGCAGTGTGCCGTTGCCATAGTTACTGAGTGTGGCGCCACATCATGCGGCAGAGTTAATGCAGAGGTGTGTGTGTGTGTCTTATTTAAGCTTTCATTATATCACCACCCTGACCTATTCCAACATCTTTTACACAGGCACACAGAGACAGTAGTTGCAGAGATAAATTCAGTGTTCCTGTTGAAATAGCCAAGTCTTCGCCACCAGTAACAGCTTCCAATCTGCAGCTCTTACCCCTGAGGTGAAGCATCATTTCTGCTGATGTAGTGGGTGATGACATTCTTCAAAAACTTTTTGGGCAAACCAAATATGCCCTTCAAGTCATGGCCTAAAGAAAGTGTTCCTTTGGTTGGTTACAAATGGGAACATACTATATATAACCTGACTGACTTATTCTTATAGAATAATGGATGGCAAATTGTGTGTATATGCAATTAAAAACGTGTGTACTTGTGATGTGAGAGCAGGGGTGGAAGAAGTATTTAGAACCTTTACTTAAGCACAAGTAGCAATACCACACTGTAAAAACTTAACTCTTGGATTAAAAAGTATTAAGTTAAAGCTAATCTAGCTAATTTCTTTTCAGCCTGACCGGTCTAGTGAGACTTAAAACAAACAGACACCATAAGCCAGTCCGGACCGTTCTTTGCCCCTTCATCACGTCCTGTTTCCTAGTGTCATCCATGCTGTTCCGACATACAGAGCTTCCTGCAGTAATCAAATCTGAAACACATGGAACCTGTCTGCCCTCATTGTCCTAAACAATCTCTCTGTCTGAGGAACATTCAAAAGAGATTTTCACAAAAAGAATTACTGATGCAAGCTTACTAGTAATACCACTTCTCAGTGTCAAGTGCTTGAGATTCTCTATCTGTTCTTCAAACCACCTGTGCTTTCCTCAAATAGAGAAGAGGTATTTTAAATAAAGAATCAAAGAAAGCTAAAGACTGATGTAAGAAGCACCGGTGAGCATTGAAGATGAGGAAGATCATTTTATCTTGGTAGGAAGGATGTATATGTTTAAGCTTGAAATGATCAGGTGTGTCCCTGCTCCTCCCTCATACTGTGCACTCCACATGTGCAAAGGATACTTACTTTGTCAACAGCTGGGCCTATAACATGTATTTTCACAGACTATTTTCCAGGTTTATTCTCTCTTTTCACAAGACATTTAAAAGGGAAGCCCACAGCAAGCAAACCAACTGTAACTGCTGCCCTGTACCCAGTAACAAATCACTGTCATTGTACAGCAGGAGCAAAGTGAAAGCCGTTTGAAATACTGTGGCAGCTCACAATGATGGTTGTGTCTACCTGGTCAGAGGATGTGAGCTGGATGTCTGAAAAAGAGTACAGAAGCAGGTAAGAAGGATCTCTGTCACCACAGGTAGCGGATGGAAGGAGATGTAAAGCTCTAAGTCTATGTTTGACTTCATAAAGCAGTATTATATTTGAACAGTGTGCCTGAGTGTAGTGCAGTTTATACGCATCATTGACAATTTTGATTGGGCTGAAAAACATTTAAAGAACCCAGATCATTTTTCAACTATCTGAGAATGACAGCAGGCTCAGTTAGAGGTTTATCCTGTGTTGGCACAGTGAAATGGAAATTAGAAACAGTTCTGGCAAGGTGAGAGCATCACTACATTAAACTGAAGCTGAATGTATTCGTTGTCTCTTATAGCTAATAATGTTTTGGGAAATTTCTTTTTAGCTTTTCAAGACTAAAAATCACATTTACTCATTCTACTAATGTTTTTACACATCTGTATGTCAAACTTTTTAAATTGTAAGATTGCAATGAGAAATATGTTTCTGTCTGGATTCACAGTTCGATTGTGGGATTATCTTAGGCCACTATACAGCCGGAGAAAATTACACTCACATTTCAGACACATAAAATGGCAGAGAGAAACTATAGTGCATTATAATTAGTGAGGTTTTGAAAACAGCACGCACACAGGCAAGGGTGATTTAACCTCAGGCTTAGTCTGTCTGTTGGCCCCTGTCCACCATCACCACACGCAACTGATTTGAAACTGCCAAATCAAGCCTCACTGCAACAAATGTACCGCATATAAATGCACATCATTTATACTTCATCATATTTTTTCATCATACAAACATCTCCTCCATCAGTTCAGTACAACAGCAAACACCATCAGTGCAATAGACCACACCAGATGCACTGTACACAAAAACTTTACACAGTGTGGAACACAATGTCAGGATAACAAGTATTAACATTAAACACTGACTTACCCAGGCGGAGAGATCAGCATCTCTGTTTTGACTAGTCTCTAGATCCATTTTGGTTCAATTGTAACAGTAATAGCAATGGAATCTTTTGCAGTCACATGACTCCCACCAGCCCTTTGTTTTGTGTCATGTTCCACCCCTGCCTTCCTGCTAGTGACTCTTGTTTTGAAAGGCACTTCCGGGTTTTCACCACCCCACTCCCTCCAGGCTTACTACTGCCAATCAGTGGCTGATTCAGAACATCTGGATTCTGTACACATTTTTTTCTGTACCTATGCTCCTGGTTTTTAACATGCTTTTGTCCCTGAGCTCAGACATTTTTGTTAGCTTGCTGAAGTGGACTGTTTTTTGTCATTAGTGCTGTTGTTGGATTTATTTAGTACTAAAACTGGCTTTAAAAAAAAAAAAAAATACAGTTTACCTGTTTCTAGCCACCACAATTGTGCCGTTCTTTTTGTGTTGTTCCCTGCCACTTGTGAGTTATCTTTTGTATGTGGCCTGTGTGTTCTATCTGCCTCCTCTCCCTGGCCTCTGGAATCTTCCTGTCCACCTTCTCTCTGTGCTAGCATTTAGTTCACTTGTGGAAGTGAATACTCACCTTAGCCCTTCTGAATTCTCCCTGTCACTTATCTGTGTGTCAGCCTGACCTCATCTGATTTCAGAAGTTAAGCAGAGCTGGGCCTGGTCAGCACCTGGCTGGAAGACCATTCAAAGACCTCGGTGATGTGAGAAAGGCCAGTTCCTATTGACTGAGGTGATCCAGAGGCAGCACCTGCATGGCCACCTTCACCACTCCCAGCCCCTGGAGCAGCTCTGCCCTTCCTGAAACCCCCCCCAATAAATCTCTTTAACTTCACTCTGACTTTGCGTTTGTTGTTAAAAAGACTACAAGTTATAGACATACCGTATATCTCCTTGATGGGAATTAGCATCCGGGTATAGCAGTGTTAGTTCTATTAGACCACAGTGCAGTATTAGAAGCAAGGGTGATATTGATTCTGTCTGTCAAACTGATTAACTCTTTTGGATTTCTATTATTTCTTACATTTTTTTTTTTTTATTACATTCTCCTCTCTGGATTGAAAATATAAATTAATCCTCTTTCCTTCCACTGCTGAAGTCTTACAAATATCATAAAAAATTCATTCATCACATTGAGCACTTCCGCTTTGTGCTTCTGCATATCTATGCCATACAACTATTTCCTGCAGACATAAATCTCAGAAGTAAGCTAGTCTTGGATTTAAACAAAAAAAAAAAGTGCTCTGCTGTTTTCTCCAACAAATGTGTCAGTGCTTTGATGAGTTATATCTAAATGAAACGGTTCAGTAAACTGTGTTTGTAGTTCACACATACTATCTACTATTTAAACTTTCTTTGGTATGAACATTTTGCAAAGATTCAATTTACTATGTACATTTTAAAAATCCACTTCAACACTTGTGAACACATTTACTGCAGCAGTGCTGTTGTCATGCAACGTAACAACGCAAGCAGGTTGACAGAGACAGTAACAGATGCAGGTGTATTAAAAATAGATTGACAAGCAGAGACAAAAACCTGTAGATCATGATGTAAATATGGTTTCACATTAAAAATGACAAAAAGCATAGTTCCCAGTATATCATCCTCTCATCTGTGCCTCATCTCACACTTCTCCTTAAACAGGCTTAAAGGCGTTATTAGTTAGTCCATGATAAGCTATAGTAAGGGGTTGCAGACTTCAGTGTAAGTAGGCTAGACCCCAGGGGCCTTGAAACTGTCTGGTTTCAAACTGTGAAAAAATTAAGACTAGGTTGGAACATCTGTGCCTGAGAGGAAGACAGACAGTGATGGATGGCCAGGTGTGTTTTGTGTGTGTAGAAGTGCCACATGCACACATACAGTCCAGGAAACAACTTGCATATTGTATGTACACATTTGCATGCACCTACAAGCAGACTGACAGAGGGCTCAGTTAAATAAGCAATGCACACCTCTGTGACAGATGACAATCTCAATTTACGTTGAATAACAAATGCACAATGTTTGCCAAATTCACAAACATACTAAGTGCATGGCTTTGTGCCACACACAAACTGACAAAAACAAATCAACTTGTTTATGAGACCCGCCAAAATCCATATGAATGCATTTCCAGCTGAATAAATAATCCCATCAAAAGACATAAAGATTAATGATGTATTTATCATCTAATGACTAGAGCTCCATGCAACACATAACAAATCAGCATCTGGCTGTCAATGGCAAATACTATTTGATGAGATTACTGAAAAGTAGGAAATATAATGCCACTTCACTGTCAGGAAAATTAATGCTACATTTATAAAATATGCACACACTACACATTTAGACATGAACCTTTACAGGGTAAACTAATACCTCCTTTAGTCATGAATCTGCACATATTAAAATCTAAAAGAGCTGTTTTTGTTAACATTCTACTGTATTTATCAGGACTGAAAGACTCTAATTTAATCTTTAATCTGTGCGTGAGACTCAGTTATAATGTGTGTCAACACGGTATACCTACAGGCCAGTAAGCTAGTGATTCAACAAAGAGGAAAAGCACAACTCTGACTGTAATTACACTGTAGTCACAGTATATAGTATCTGGTTGTATCAGGTATACAGAATATGCAAGTAAAAAAGATCCAGACATGTTGTGGCATGAATAACAGGTCACAGAAAAAGGCAAGTGCTGACAGTGAAATCTAAGCTCAAGTCTTTGGCTTGGGTTTATCACATCAGTTTGTGTAGCTGAGGTGAGACTGTGCTTAAGTAGTAGCTTTGTGGTTGACTATTGAAGGTGCATATTTTTGATGTTTCTTTTTTTTTTTAATTATTTTAACAGGCCAAGCTGATATTTTAAGTTGTTGCATATTTACAGATTTGTTGATTTTAGTTCATTTTCTTCTATTGTTAAAATTCTGTTCTTACAAAAAGCAGGAATCCTTCCACTTTGTTAGATGTCAGATAACCAAAATGTTAAACGCTATCAATCCATCTTTGCATCTCTGCCAACTCCAGCTTCTGGGTTTGGGCTGGGTTTTGGTGAAGGAGCTGGGCTGGGTGCTGTAGGGGTCTTGCGCCTGACGGGGATTGGCGGGAGGATGAGTTTGACACTGGATCCAGGGTGTCTATCAGAGGAGGGAGACACGGCTGCAGATAGTGGATCTGTGTCTGGATGGGGGCCATCAGAAGTTTGGTCTGATGCCAGGTGGTGGAAGAGGGAAATAATTTATGTAATAGAAACATAGCTATGGAAACACATAAACATTCTTTTAGAACTTATTACATTCAACTTGATGTAATGTTTAGGTGATTTACTGTACCCTAAAGAGACTGCTGTACACATGAAAAACATAGTTTGCATAATTTGGAACAGTGTTTAAACATAGAGCATAACAAACATAGAATGAATTAATGTTTTCCCTTTCCCTGGCCTCTAGTGGATCCAAAATATGCCCTCTCTTTATAAAATAAAATAGAAATGGTGTAAAATTAAAAAAAAAAAATGGTAGTGACCTTTGAGTGTTCCCAGGGTGTGTCCCAGGACAGAGGCATCTAGTGGGTCCACTAAGCCAGACAATGCTCCAGCTGAACTGGGCACAGACAGCGCTGAACTGGCACGGGACTCATCTGAGCTGCTTGTAGAAGAAGTAGAGGTGGGATGAAGTCAAACCACAGAGGGTAAGGGGAAAAGCAGGAGACAAGAACAGAACAGAAAAGGAAGAAGTTCATGCAGTGAGAGGTGTAAGGTGGGCAGCAGTACAAAAATAAAGCTGTTAAAGCCACAAATGACAACAGTGAGAAAAACACAAAACAGAGTGAAGAGCTTCTGAAAAAAAAAGTGCAGTTCTGAAAATGTTACCATCAATTTTGGGAAACAATAACAGTGTCTCTCTTGATGTTCCTAGATTTTTCATGATGCAAATCAGAACTGGGGATATTTGACAGGTTTATTTGTTTGTTTGACAAAATCCCAAGATTTTGATGATAATATCGATAATGTGATAATGTCATAATGATGGGGGGTGTCTAATGGTACTCAGTAAAGAAACCAAACCCTGACGTTTTTTTGAAGACAATACACAAGCACACATACACAAGACAAAAATCCCAGAGAAATACAAAAGGACCCTCTGTTACAATATGTGAGACAGAAACACACATGTAAAGACACATCCCGATTAAGAGCATGACCAACAAGTAGACATGTCTGGAATCCTCTACAGAAATACTGAATGGCTGAGTAATGCTAAGTGTACACACTGGGGGCATGTATGACTCAGAGTGTGTTGACAGGACTTGTAGATTTTAAAGAAGTTTAGTTAAACTGGCCTTCTGAGAATATGATCACAGTGTGAATGAATCCATTTGACTGAACACTTACTGCTTCACTGCATGTATCTAAAATCTCTTCTTTGACAAAAACTAATGAAATAAAAAGCTCAGCTTATAGCTGGCTTGTACAACGAAAGCTGCATGTTGTAGCATGCACACCACACACACACACACACATAACCACACATATCCGAGTCAACATCTAACTGGTTAAATGCATATTTGCACAATAAGCCTGTTTATTGAATGTAACTGTACACACAAAAGAGAGCACAAGCAATAAACTCACACTTTATGAGAGGGTTTATTTGTGTGTAAGCAAGTGTGTGTGCCTGTGCATGTGTGCGAGATGTGTGCACAGATCTGTCCCCGAATGACTTGTACCAAAATGAGCTCTATAAGAGTGAGCATATGTTGTATAATCAGACCTTGGGAGTAAAGAATACTACTACAAAAGCAGCAGTTTCCTGCTTCTAAATCCTCACATTGTTTTTTATGAACCTCCAGTGGATTTTCTCACCTCTTCACAAATCAAAAAGCTATTATTGTGAATTTAGAAAATAATACTGGTAGTGTGAGCACCTGTACTGTGCATGCATTGTGCTTTTGTGAGCGTGTGTATATGTTCTTACCTACTATGCCTACTAAAATGGGTACCAGGATCATGAGACAGCAATGACGATGGTGTTGTCTGAGCAGAGCTGTACATAAAAAAAAAAATTAAAAAAAAATTTGAAATTGAATATTTCTTCTTCACCAGTATAAATCATATGGAAAAGCAAGCTCACATGTATTAATAAACCATCCACTAGGATGAAATTAGCAGCCATTCATTTATATTTGGTATAGTTAAAAGAGGTGACAGGTATATTTTAGGACATCTAAGTGGAGAGCACCACTACACAAACCCATCATATTAACAAACAATTACATTCAAGTCATTTGGGCACCTGCCACTACACCATCAAGGTCAAACAATAGCCCAAAACAAGCCATCAAAATGCATTTAGGACAAGTGTGCCAATCAAACCAATTTGGCCCGGCTGAGGGCGCCCACTTGAAATTAAACACTGGAGTGCAATGGAGTGCTACTTATAATGAACCTTTTGAAAAGCTGGCTGTAGACCCCTGGCCTCTTCCCCACTATAGCCTCTCTCACCAGCTGCTCTCGCCTCCTGATGGACGCTAACTCCTGCAAAGAGAAGAGGTGAAGAGAGGGAGGAGGAGATGAAATAGGAAGGTGAAAGGAAGGAGAGACAAAACAGGCGCTGCAGGTGAGAAAGAGAAGAAGACAGTTGATGTAGATGGTGATTAAAGGGGACAAAACAAACCAGAAAGTGGGAAGTGTGATGATGATGATACACAGCTAGAGGAAAAGGAAACCCATGTTACACAATTGAGGAGTATCCATCCACTCTCTATACTGCTTTTCCTGAAGAAGGTAGTGCGGGGGTAGGAAGCCAATCCCAGCTGACATTGGGTAAGAGGTGGGTTACACAAGGCCAGTCTATCACAAGGTTGACACTCAGAGACAGACAACCACACACACACAATTTAGAGTTGCCAATCAACCTAAGCTTTGGACTGTGGGAGGAAGTCGGAGTACCGAAAGAGAACCCACACAGGCACAGGGAGAACATGCAAACTCCACACCGAAAGACACCGGGTCAGCTGGGGCTCGACTCCTGAACCTTCTTGCTATGAGGTAACAGCACAAACCACTTCACCACCATGCCGCCCCAATTGAGGACTATTTTTCCTTAAATTTGACAGAATCTAGATGTCTACTTAATATTCACTTACAGGCTTCATAACCAATAAATATTTCATCAGATATCATGTAACTCACAGTGGGACTCTTCTGAGGGCTGAGCTCGGCCTGGATCCTGGTAAAATAGTGTCTAAAGGAAAGATCTGAAGGGTCAAGAGCTCTGGCTGAGTGTGACATAAGAGTGCCTGATCCTGACCTCGACAGGGTCGGGGGTGGCTTCTCCTCAGGCTTGTGACCTAAGGTTGACAGTGAGGGACAGACACTGTATATCAGTACTAATAATGTATATCAGTGTAATAATGTATACAATAGTCACAATAAACATACATACAGGTACAAGATGCATATATAAACAGATAGTACGCTATCTGAAAAAAGACTTAAAAGATAGTACGCTATCTGAAAAAAGACTTATATGCAAGTTATTTCCTTATTTAGACACCATCAAATCTTATTTATAACCACCTTAACAATAACCTAAAGTGGCATGCATGACTCCAGGTTGCAACAGAGTTTCTGGTAAAAAAAATAATAGACAAGCACAAGCTGAGCTACTCAAGTGATGGCATTTGAGTCATTTTTCAGACATTACAAAGCTTTTCCAGATCCACACGACAACTGTATTCACGGGCCGAGTAATACTCCCTGCGACTACTAATTTGATTTTAATGTAATATTAGTCAAGTGACCGCTTAAATAACAAGTAAAACGTTTGTGAGGTGCACTTTGCCTGTGCCTTCACAAAGTTAGTGCCATGGTAATGATGATCTGAACAGACAAACAAGTGTACCTGTGGAAGTGCTGCCAGGGCCTCCTTCCTCCTGCTCCTCTAGCAACAGGTACCCCTTCACTACTTGCCTCAGTGTCTGGTAGGTTTCTTCCCAGTCATCTACTCACACAGTCAAGTACACATACACACCATCCCACAAAAAAATTCCGGTTGTGAACGAAGCCATTGCATCTCCCATCAAACAGCAATGAATCAAAGATATGGGGATTATGACCTTAGTGTAATGAGGTGCATAAAAGTGATGAGTGCCCCATGCTCCCTGTATGTTCATCTCATTAAGAAAACTGCTAACATGTCTGAGTGCCTTCATGAGGGAAAGATAAACACAGCTATTCTGCAGCTACAGTACGTGCCCTTAATAAATGTGGTAATTGGATTGAAAGTGTAGTGTATGGATTTTTAGTGAAGTATGTTAATATATGTAAATCTACACCAATGACACTTGGGCTACACTAATCAGGGTAAGGCAGGGTATCTTTATCTTTGCGAGGCACTGACTGCGAACAAAGCAATCACAGTGGAAACTTCCAAATTTCTTTCTTACTAGCATCATATCCTAAAGGTTGAAGATGAGGTCAACATATCTCCCCTGGGAATCAGTTAAGTGCTTTCTTAAAAAATGAACTAACTAATAAGTAAAATGGATCTGAGAATATTAAATCCTCATTAATATCTTCTGAAATATACAAACAAATAAGTACAGCATCAGATAACATGAATGAATACATTTAATGGTATCATAAAATACTTCAATGACAAAGTGTTTCCTTGCTGTACCACAGGGGATAACATTATCGAAGAATCCCAGCCGCTGCCTGTTGGTGTTGGCGTAGAGCTCTATACGTGATACTGCCATGTCAATCTGTGCTTGGGTGTAGAGACCACGGCGTTTCAGGTGTCCCGTGTACTTCTCCACTTGGGTGGGGATGAGCAGGATGCATCGAGGCTCAAAATAACTTTTCTTCAGACTGAACACACCCTGGGAGGACAGACAACCAGCATATTTCAACATTTACTTTTATGGTCACTGTACGATTTGCAGCCACTCTCTGGGGGTTAGGGCTAAGAAGACAATGGGTTGCTACTCTTCATCAGAGCACAGATTATTCGCTAGATTATTAGTTTTGCTAAAGATGTTGCAAGTTTCGTGCTACTGGATGAACTGATTAGTTCATCCAAATTACAAACACACAGGCTTTTATTAACCATAAGCTTGATGTACTCTTCTGCATGAGTTTTCCATATGCATACTGTACTGTACCTCCAGCTCCATGTGCACACAGCAGGCCAGTCCTTCTCTGGCCACATCCTCTATGGCATCTCTGGTCAGACCAAAGCTGTGACCTCCATAATGTATAGTCTGGATAAATTTACCCTAAAAAGGAATTTCAAGGTATGAGGGTAAAAGTATGACTACTTGTACTACTACTTGTAATGTTACCACAGTTACAGCATGAGCTACATTTATCACCTAAGGTGGACATAATAATTAACACTTGTACACAGCCCCAGCAGGTTCTATCAAGATAAACAACCCAAGGTCACTTGCCCACCTGTGATCTGAACTTATGAGCTGGTGGTCAGGGCAAAAATCTCTCTCTTTGTTACATCTCACTCATGATCTCTGACCTCTTATCTGCCTTCTTTTGGGGCAGTTTTATCTGAAAAGCATATTTATAACTCTCAATAAACTCAGTAAAGACTAAACCCTATTTCAGTTGGTGACAAACTAGTAATTCTTGTTATTTGATTTGTAGTAGGAAAAGTGAATTCAGATGAATAAATGAAATTGAAACTCTTTGTTATAATTCCCCAGAAGCTGTCTTGTAATAATTCTATTACTGCAATTATTTACTGTTTATAAAGCATAAATTATTTTTAAAATCATTTTACTGAGGCCTATTTTGATAATATTAGTGTGGTTTGCTACGTTTAAAATCACAGCAAGCTGTCTCCTGAAGGTACCGAGTTGAAGAGGACACTGTTTTTGTGCCTCAGCCTTCCTAAATGGGTCATTGAAAAGCATTTAAACACAAAATTATAAACATGATTATTGTCATTCCATATTATCAGAATAATAGCTATTTAGACATATTTTCACAGCAGGGTGTCTCTGTGTTTATGGCAGAGTAAAGAGTGTAACTACCGAGAGCTGTCAAGTGTGGTTAATCTTTTGCAAGAACATCCACCAAAAGTGGGTTCAAGAGCTTATAATTATATAGCTACTGAAAAGAGCAGCACGGTGGCACAGTGGTTAGCGCTGTTGCCTCACAGCGAGAAGGTTCCGGGTTTGGGCCCCACCTGGGACCTTTCTGTGTGGAGTTTGCATGTTCTCCCTGTGCTTGCGTGGGTTCTGTCCAGGGTGTACCCCGCCTTCGCCCGATTGCCGGCCGGGATTGGCTCCGGCCCCCCCCATGACCCCGTTCAGGGACTAAGCGGTAGAACATGAGTGAATGAATGAATGCATGAAAAGAGCATCTGAGGGCAAATGATTAAAGTGGAAGAAGACAGCTCACACATGCAGGATGAAGAGCAAGAAAGTCAGGACAGGACAGTAATACAGGAAGAAGCTGACATCAGTAGGATGAAGGGAGAAAGAGAAAAATGAACAAACCAAGTGAAGGAAGGGACAGGCTGTTCAGTTAACCTGATACCAGCATCAAAGCCCTTGCTGTGTAAATCACTACATGACCCCGACCTCTATCCATCATCCCCCACCACGCTTACATAACAGGCAGTTTGACAAGAGGGAGAAGATGAAAAACCAATGTGTCCAACACCCAAGACCTAGTTTTCTGACTATGAAAACTGTAAGTTCACTTATTTAATGCATTAGTGATTTTCAAAGCACATGAGCTGTAGAATGTGCAATGAATTTTGTATTACAGATGTAAATTATCACGCAATGAAAATCAGAGTCTGGCAATGATGAACCCATGGGACATATTTCGTGGAATTTTGACCAATGCCTGCATATAAATGACTTTTAACACTAGAGTTCGATGTCCTTGGCAGTTGTTTCAGACTAATAATCATCCGTTGCATGCCAAGAGTAACTTATCCTGAATAAAATGTAATTAATACAGCCATTATGCCTTATCAAAGCCACATTCAAATAAATGTATCATTTAAAAAAGTAGCAGCCACTTAATGTAAAATCAGTCCATCCAAGCAAAACTAATTATCTCAACTACTCAACTTACTGTGAAGTCAATTTGAAACTTGCTGAAAGAGTTACACTGTGTGACTCAAACACACTTGAGATCAAGCTTTTCAAAAACCCAAAGTACATTTAATTAACTTATGGGAAAGTATATATAAATTAATGACAGTGCATAAGATTTTTGGAGTGCAGAACTTAAAATAACCTTGATGCACATATTTTGTTATCCTGCACTAACTTTTGTGGCCTGTGTTGTACAAAGAAAAGCTTAATATCAAGCTAACATACCATGTGAATCATGTTCTGAAAGTCCTTCTCACTGACAAAATGGTAATCAATTCTATTCTCCTCTCCAAAGTAGGGCCCCCTTGTGGTATGAGAGATACTGTGAAAACAAACACACACACACACACACACACACACACAGTAGAGAAACATTCAAATCTACTATTTCATTTAACCTATCCAGCCATATAATTCATGGGGTCTAGTTGTGTGAAAAGTCCAGACCTGTAACCACTAAAGAGGCCCAGTAGGGAGGCTAAGAGCTAGGGCAACAGCCCAACAGTAAATCCCGGTTCCCTTAACTGCATCCATATTTCCCCCACATTCACCTTTTCCTTACATCTTAGTCCCACCCATATAAGATTCATGGAAAAGTTGCAAGGAGAGAGGAGACACCCTTTCTTCTGACCCTTCTAGGCCAATTATAATTAACATCGGGGCTCTACAAGGCTGCGGTCTTTCCCCATTGCCTTATTCCAACTTTATGCTAATTGTTTTAATTCATCAGACAAGACTATATAATAAATATTATGGGCAGCTGTTTGCCTTTAAGAGATGTGAGTGAGAATATAAGTAAACATATAAAAGTTGTTTTAGTTGCTGTAAAATTAATCCCACTATCAAAACTATGATAAGAATGGACATTTTGAAAGCTGTAACATTCTATCATTTCTTAAACATAACAAGAAGAAAACTTATTTTAGCTGTTTAATCCACTGAATTTTGACATTTCAAAGTACTATTATTTATTACCATTTCGGAGCACTGACTATATGTCTGATGGTATGCGCCCAGAAATGTTGAGACTGACCCATTTGCAAAGTATTCGCTGAACTCCTGACACAGTCTGTGGCCCAGCTCTCTCTTCCCACAGCCTTGAGGACCTGTCAGCACCAGCATAGGATAGGGAGAGTCCGCACTGGGCAGGGTACTGCTCAGAGACACACAAACACACACACACACACACACACACACATTTCTCATGAACTACACATGCTTAGATTCAAATCCAGTTGCCTCTCTTACCAAAGATGACATGACTAATAAACTATGATGCACAAACTCCAATCTTGAAAGCCACTCCTACACTCAATATAAATGGGAGCCTTGTGGGCAATGTGGCTGTGCTCTTTCTAGGAAGCACAGAGGAGAACGCTAAACTGTAGATGCAGCATTTCATTTGCTGATAATGGATGTTTCAAAAAAATGCTGATGCACAAACTCATTTTTTCTCTTTTAGAGTAGAGCAACATAGGAACACTGCAGATAAAATCCTGCTCATGTTTGAAAAACAACTTTCTTGAAATTTGATTTTGATTAAGATACAGTACATATCATTATGAATCATCACCACATTTCAACTGTTTTCAAATCTTCACGTTAAGTGTGAACCTCCCAAACACAGCTTAAGATCCTCATTTCAGTCATCAATTATTCATTTTCCAATTTCCTTAAGATTATTTTGTAGCAGTCAACTTTATATTCAGGAACAGGCTTCATTCATGAATGACGGTATTAAACAACACAACATTTGTACAAACCTGTCATAAAGAACCTGGGACTGCATCAGCTGATACACCATGTGTGTCATGTGATCTCTGGCTGCCACCACATCCAAAGGGGGGTCATATTTATTCACTGATGACACCTAGAATTTAAGGTTAGAGACCATACATTATAGCCTATTCCACATCATATACAATATTAATTACATATTACATAATATTAATATTATTAAATTAATTCATATATAATACATGAAAGAAAGTCACTTTCGGCTTGACATTTTCACTGGTGGTTCAGAAAAGTGATGACATGGAAGTTGAAAGGAGTGAAATTTTTAGTTTAGTTTAAAATGAAAAAATCCTCCTATCCCAGCGATGAAAGGTTTTATTATTTCATCATTTTCCCAGCGAATTGACTCACATATTGACATTTGGCACGTGTTTTATGCCGGATGCCCTTCCTGACGCACCCCTGATTCGAACCACTAGCCTACCAGGGACGGCTCTTAATATATAATACATAATATATCATATATATATATATATAATATATAGTTGCATTAAGTTGGTGGCATCCTTTCTAGTCTGGGGCAAAAGGGCTCAGTGAATCATACTGTTTAAACATGGAGGTAAAGCATGATGAGCTACTATTCTTATGCTGATTCCTACCTTCTCTTCAGCAGTGACCTTCTCTTGGTCCAGAACAGCAAGATGTTGAAGTAGGAAGACAACTAACATTCTGTAGTCTTCTTGCTCCTACCAATCACATTCACATGATGTATATTACAAAAAAAATAAACATATGATGAAGTTATATTTAGAGCACTTATATTTTTTGTTATGTATTGCCAAACTGCATGCGGTCAATAAAGGTGCCAAGGTAACACCAACAACATTAAGAGGCAACACACAGATGGAAGTCATCTTGCCTACAGTATGTGATCTGTAACTCATAGTACAGAATGCATGAGAAGTATGGTAGATGCAGAAATGGACCTCTGCCCGGTACAGTTGTGCACATCTGCACACATCAAATAAATGTTCCCACATAAGGAGGCTTTGATCAGTATGAGCTGTATTACCTGGACAGGGTTTCCAAGCAGATTGAGGTCCCTCAACAGGAAAAGATCATGAATGTGCTTGCACTCCTGAATTTCTGTGATCTGAAATCAGAGACCAATCAAACAAAATTTATAAAGTGAAATCCTTGCCTAGTGTTATACTGTAACATTATTAGTTAGTAGTGTTATGTGAGACCAGTTTACTGGAGTATCCTCAACATTTTATAGACATTTCACAATCTGGTGAAACTCTGTATTTGCTTGTTTTACTTTTGTTATGCAATAATGCAGTTTTACTTAGGATTTTTGAACTGGCCGGTCTAAGAAACACTTGGCAGGCTGACCTAAAATAGTAAATGGTGGCCCTAAAAAAGCTCGGTGTCCAACTGATGTGCCCTCAGGCAATAACACTAAAGACCTACCTTATCACACTGTGACAATATATTGTCACAGTTCATTCAGTTATTCATTTGCCATGTTTCAATAGCTGTCATTTCAAATTGTCTATCATGCCATCCCAGCTGTAGCCTCCAGCCTTTTTGGACTCACTTGTTTGCCTGCCAGTTTCTCTCTTTTTTTTCTGGTTTGTTTTTGACCTCCTGCATGTTTTGGACTTTTCCCTTTGCTTACTCCCTTTTCTTTTTACCTGTTTGTCTGCCTGTTATCAACAACTGCCAGTTTGTCAACTTTGCCCCTCATCCAAGACCTTAATTAAGTCTTTTGTTTCTGAGCTGTAACATGCTGTATACTGTGATACTAAAATAATAAAATCCAGTAATAAAAACAGAAATGTGTTATCCTGTATTTCTGCTGTTAATAAGGTCTATCTAAAGGCTCCTTAGATCAATACCAGGTTTTTCTCCAGGTTTATGGAGCCCAGTAGGCACAGATTCTGGAGACCAGAAAGACTGGTGATGCGGTTCAGAGACAAGTCAAGAACTTGCAGACTCTTCAGATTCTCCAACCCTTCAATTCTCTCCAGCTGGTTTCCCCTCTGGACACAGACAGGAAAGAGAACTGATTTAAAGATGCATGCTATTAATTTATATGCATGCAGACATTAATGGGTTCCAACCACTTCTCATTTATACACAGTCAATTATTCCTGCTATAAATATTAAGGATGTGCCCCGGTCGCTCTGCAGGGTGCCTGAACTTTCTTTCCCCTCATTGCTGAGTTGAGTGGCAGGCCGGGCTCTCTCTGCTAAATCCTGACAGGTGAGTACTGACACCCAAACAGCTGGCGAGGTGCTAGCACAGCACGATAACTAACCAAAGAACCAGACCCGGGCACTCCTCACTTGTCAGGGTCCCCCAGCTTGCTTCTCATTTCATTCCACTCACTAAAGTTGTTATCTAGCTGTCTGGCCACACCTAGCCCTGCTCTTGCCAAACATATTGCCTGGCAAAGAACCTATATCAGTAGGGGTGGGTGACTGCTGGTCCCTGGAAGCTCTGGGTTGGTGCTGTGATGGGTTGGGAAACAGGCTGGTTGACAGGGCCATGCTGTTTAGGGAGGCAAAATGTGAGAAAGAGGGGTCAGGAATGAGATTAGATGGACTCTGGACAAGGTGTGTGTGTGTGTGTGTGCTCACTTAGACACTAGCAGATGGTTCCTAAACAAAGCTACAGACAGGGCTAGACACAACCAGACCGATGGCTGCTGACAGCTAGGAAACAGTGATAAAGAACAGAACATGCCTGTGCATACACATACATACACAACCAGAAAGAAGAGTGAGATAGAGGAAATGCCTGCTGTTGGACATATGGTGATTCTCAAACACAGGGCCAAGGTTTTATTGAATGTAAAATGGCAGCCAAAAATAGAGATATAATGAGAAGACAGAGGGGAGAGAAGAGACAGACTGGAACATAAATGGGTGAATTCCAGCATACATGAGTTCAAATACATGCAACAAGAAAGAAAAACTCCAAAATAATTCCAACAGTGTTTGTGTATGGATAGTGGATACCATATGAAGAGAAACAACCTACTAAGAAATAATGCCATGCATGTAAATGGAAATATAGCCAATGAGCAGTAGAGAAATCCAAATGAGATTTCTGTTAAAAAATGCATGACTGTGCATGTGAATGTGCATCTCTTTATCATGTCTGACTGTAATAAAGAACGTACAAGGCAGAGGTATGTGAGAGGCAGACTGTCCAGGCTGCTGATCCTTGAGATCTTGTTGTGTGCCAGGCTGAGATGGGTGAGTCGGCAACACTGCTCAAGACCACTGATCTCACTGAAACGGTTGTCTGAGGAATGGGCATGCTAAGAATAACACACAGAGTTAAAAATACACATAATGTGTTTGCGGAGTGTACTTTCATAGACATTATCATACACAGGCAAAGCAAGAAGCTACAAAGTTTTGAAAAATGTGTGTGAGAGAGACAGGTGGATTCACATGCACATGGATGAATATAAATGGTTTCTCCATAAGGATACAGTCCAGTTCCAGTTTACTGAGGGATGAATAAGCTGATAAATCCTTTATTTTTGTCAAATGATTGTGAGACAAATTGACTTCCTGAAAGAAGCAGAACACTGTTAACAGCAGTCACAAAAGTCTTCATTACATCTCACTGAAGAGGTCTGCAGAGTATGGGAAAGAATTTTCAATTTGGTAAAGTTCACTGTCATTCAAGGCCAGTTAATACCTTTTAAGCATATTTAAAGTGATTACAGATTGGCTATGGAAATCCAGGACTATCTTGAGGGACTAGCGTGAGAGAGTGAAGCCCAAGTACCAATCAAACATTGTCTTATCCTGTCAGCTCAAGGTCGTGCGCTACCTTTAGGTTCTTGAGTGGCTGGAATCCAAAGAAGTTGAAGATTTCATTGTGAGAAGCATCCAGGATGACAAGGTTAGGCATGTGGCTCACACAGGATAAGTCTACAATAGCAGTTGAGTTAAGGCAGAAACAGAAAAGTAAAATATTCACGTTAATAAATCATGTCTTAATTACAACTTGTTATATCCTTGTGCAAAAAAAGTCACAGGCTCAAATACAGTAAACACTGTAACAAGTCTGTAACAGAGTTAAAGAAATGCTGGTCATCTAATTATAACAGAGACCTTTGATTTTGTTGTGCGGCAGTTCCAGCTTTTGCAGGTGGACGTAATTACGTAGAATGGAGACATCAGTGAGACTGCGATTCTAGTTTAGAGAAAAATACAACCTTGGTTGAGCTAAATTTGTGTCAGAATTAAATTGCAAAGAGAGCTGTCAACATAATAGCAACATGACACATGGACGTAAACACTTGGTAAGGGATTGCTTTGTCTTGGTAAATCAGACAGTAAATATTCTTGCAAGCCATATAATGTCATTTACAAAAGCAGTAAGTGTCTTACAGGCAGAGACAGGTGATGATACACGTAGTGCAGCCCAGAGCCAAAAAGTCCAATCTGGGATAGAGAGCTGGAGACGACCTCAGTAGTTAAAACACCATGCTTCTGTAAAAACAGTTGTATTTGAAGCTACCATGTGGAGTCCTTGCAGCTTTTACATCACTGAACTAAAAGCACCCTTGGAATAACAATGCAGTTAAAGACTATGTATATGGCATGAGGCCACTATAAGCATCACCTAATGCTCACAGCTTCCTGCTCCTAAAAGCATGCATGAACATATTCATGCAGTATCACACACACACGCACACGGATGCACACACACAGTATGCTTGCACAAAACGTTAAGCCAAATTGCAAATAATCAACCATTTGACCTTGCTGTGCTGTTTTACTTCCATAGACCTCTTGAGCAAGGTTACCTGTTTTACCTGTTGCATAACGGAACAAATATGGTGGTTTACTCAAAGTTCCCCTTTAAAATGCACTAAGTACTGCCTTTTTATAGCTTACATTTCTGTCACAGTGAAAACATGAAACATGAATATTTATTTAAGAAGTACACTATAACACACACACAAGTAGCTTATAAAGGTTTGCCAGCTAAGGTAACGTTATCCCAGTCCTTACCTCCATCTCTCTGTTTTCTTCTAGCGCTAGCTCATTGCAGCTGGGAGCCTTTGCTAAAGAAGCGTCAGTGGGGGACCCTGGGAGGCAGCAGCTAAGCGACAGAGAGGAAAGCAGGTGACTCGTTGTTTCCTTACTGAGTTCACGATGAAAACTCGGTGGCAAAAGCTGCTGGAAGGACTGATAGCTCCAAGTATGTTTTCCCTGTTTTAAAGAAAACTGTTTAAACAAGCTTGTACATACTATGTAGCAACTTAACTTTAGCTGTGAGGCTTCACCACTCATCGCTTGGCAACGGCGAGACAAATGCCAATTGAAAGGATTATGGGTAATGTAGTTTGCCTACACAATGGCACTTGTTTTAACTTTATAGAATGGGTATTAAGTATGGATATTATATTATAGTATATTATATTAGTATATATCCCCATAATTAAGGGAAAGCAAAACAGAGACTTTACTTAAGTGGGCAAGAATAAAAGCACCTACACATTTCGGTGTATGCCTTTTTCAGGTGGTTTGGGCAATTTGAATTGAAAACAGACATTTAAAAAATATGAATTATTAATTTAAATCTCTGATCACATAAACGAACTCAAGATAAAGCTGCATATCGTATTTGAAAGCATAAATAGTGTTGTTGTTGTGCAGTGTTAGTTTTAAAAGGCACGTCAATAATTATGGGAATACCGATGTTTGTAGTCTGGTAGGCTATTTTAATTTCAGTTTGGGGACTATAGCCTTTGTTTTTTGGATTTGAATTCTCTAGGACTCCATGACCAGATATGTGTATAGCCACAGCTTGCAACCCCATTGTGCCAAAAAGAGTGCAGCCATGAATTTATGCCTTCAGGTGATGCGTTGTCTGTATTTATTTTTCTCATTCCAGTATGCTGCACTTTAGCACTTCATGCTTCAAATCGTGTCATGCAGGACATCACACCTGTCAGGTAAAGTGTATCCTATAGTGTTGGTTTTGGACCTGTCTCAGTCATAAGGGTTTACTCATGTGGAGGAGATTTTAGTATGTGTATATACTCTAGCTGTAGTGCTCTCAGTGGAAAATATAACTGTTTTACAATGATGCAAGGAAAACACTGTACAAGAAAGAAAGAAAGGAGGAGGAGGAGAAGAAGAAAAAGAAACAAGTCAAGGTTGGAATTTGGATGGTTTATTTTCATTCACTGACCAGAGGAACAAGCAAGTTGTTTAAACTTGTTCAAAACTAACACACTTTGATGTACAGAATTTCATTCATTCTTACTTGAAACATAAAACTGATTGAATATCTGTACAAAATAAAGGTGCACTGCAAAGGAAAAGAAACATGAAATAGAAGGGGAGTTTTAGGGGAATTTTTTTTTAACCTTTATGACATTTTACTTATATTCATAAATAAAAAGCATGGAGAGTAGTAATGGTTCCATACACAGAGTATGCCCAGTACGTATGTTTCTGGTCTTTTATGGGTTGTGTGTGTGCAGTGAGACGGTAATGTAATAGCATCTGTCTGTGGTCAGTTGCTTAACACTGTATTAAAGTTTCCCATGTATAACATTACAAAGTAGCTCTGACGTGAACATATGAATGAGCAAATTTTAGATTTTACACCAAGTGTACATTTCAGAGTGGCAGCTGAAATCCTCAGCAGCTCCACAGCTGTTCTCCCACCGATGCCTGCCTATGTGTCATTATGATGGATTGCTCTATGGACTTCAGGGACACCAGCTCTGGGCCCGCTGTATTGACAAAGCTCCCATTCCCCTATCTTCTTCTTAAGTACTTTTCTCCCAAATTAATGAACTAAAACAGGGAGGGATGCAGGGAGGGGAATGATTTGTGATCGTTGAGTTTAGTTCATTTGAAAACACTCCGGCAATGTGGGGGACAGCAAAGTAAATTTTCAGAATTGCATTGCTTCAGTTTATAAAGCTACGTAGTATGACTGATTAAATGTATTCCTCACCTTAAGACATAAAGAACAATTAATTCTACATCTGGGATAAACCTTGTCCTGGTTTTACTGAAGAGTGAAAGTGAAATTAGAAAGAAATATCTTAATTATTTGGTCTTTTGTCCAATTTCTAAAAGATGTTAAATAAAAACAAACATATTAGATGCACAAGTTTACTGCTCAAACTATAAGAAAAAAAAAAGACAGAACAAACAGATTTTTTTAAACAAACATATGATACATTTCTCAGCTGGGAAATCTTTGGGGACCAACCCAAATTGGCAGCGAGCAGAAGATGTGGCCTCATTCAGACAGTCTAATCTGGCATCTGTTATTGCAGACAGAATCAGTGGGCCCATGGGGCTGCCAGGAGAGGAGAGATAGAGGTGTAATTGAGAGCAGCAGTTTAGATCTAATAGGAAAATGAGATGCAATGGGGCCTAAGTTTGGGTGAGTGTCCAAGGCAATTGCCTTTTTTTCTGGAGCTAGAGTCATAGCGACTAGGGGGGACAGTTACATTTTGAGCATGCATGCTGCATTTGTTATGTATTTTAAAAGTGAAAAATGACAATATAGGTTACCTTATGACACAGACACCTAAGGAACTAGTTGTGTAAGCTTCCATCTGTGTTGGTTGTCACATTGCTCCCCAGTCAGAGTGAGTTAGTGCTGCATATGTAATCTACATGCCCAGAGTTTGAAGAAAGTGTATCTGTGTCGGCCCTTGATTACAATGCATTTCCATCATAGATAGGATATAGCTTCACACACATTATGATCTAAATCTAGAGCAAGCAACTTTTTCTGTTTTCTAACCCAATTCTCAAATATCCTCTGCTCTGCAAGATTTTTACTCCTTCATTTACTACTTTTGTATACCTCACCCAATTATCTGCTACACAGATCTGAAGGAGCAAGAAACATGTAGGACAGAGGTTATTTGATTGGAATACGCACTGTTATTCTCTTTCATAGACCATGTTTCTCTGAATTCCACACAGCAAAACACCCTTCTGAACCCTGTCCTTATCATTACACTGTGGTGATCTTCTTGTCCTTGGAGGCCTGTTTGATAGCAGCCTGCTCACAGATGATCTCTTTAAGGCGCTGCAGCCGGGTGTTTTGGGTGCTCAGGTCCCCTACACCCGTCTGACTGCGATGAAGCAAGGATAGGGCATTGATGTACTCCAGCTCCGTGTAGCGAACACCCTGGTCCACCACCAGGTTCAGCCGCTCCTCTGCAGTGTTGTACAGCATCTCATAGTACTGCCTGAATGGAGGATAGAAGGAGTGAGGTAAGAGAGAAAGAAAATGACAGGAAGATAAAGAGTAAGAAAATGAGTTGAGCAAGAAAATGATAGGAAATTGAGGGGGAAGACAGAAAAACACTTTATATTCCTCTTGGCATTATTCCAGTGCAAAATCAAAAGAGGCAACAGCAACAAAGGCAAAACACAAAAGCCAAACTAACCGCTGTTGCTGTCAAGCCTAATTTTCTTAAAAAGGCCTTCAAGGACCTCACCGTTTCACCAGCTACAAACTAATAAGGCTGCTTTAATGAAACACTGTGGACAAAGCCAAAAGAGGAAAGAGGTGTGTGCAGAATTAATAGGCCTTTAACCAGGACCTGATGCCACAATGGGCCATTTGAAATAGACCATGAAGTACATAATGATAAAGGAGCACAGAGGGAGAGTGGGTATTGTTGAATAACACACATTTCCACCTGCTGACTAAAACATCATAGAAAGGTCAGATAATGCCACACAGAAGAAAGAAAAGACTGTGTGTGTGTTTGTTTTTATACACTATTTCTTTTTGTCAACAGAGTATTCACAGGTGGAGGTCCTGGGTCCTGTGTACTACATGTGACCATAGGCTGACAAATTCATTAGAATCAGTCCACTAAAAAATATATTTGGCTAGGAATATAGATATTAGTAGTTTACACATTCCATTGCAAGAACAGGAGGGGCTGGAGGTGAGGTCATGCACAGGAAGGTCCTGGAATGCAGGACAGATTATTTGTCTTTGCTCTGGGGCAAAACAGGTCAAATACTTTTGAGAGTTCATGTATTTGTGGCATTGTGTCGACAGAAACACCGAAATTCAAGGACACACTAGACTAGATTTCACCGCTATCTGTACCTGGCCTAGGAACAAATCCTCTTTTTTAAAGATACACTGGGCATTAACACTTCCCTACATTAGTATCATCTGCAGGTCCAGTTAGAACATGAGGACAGCAAGCGAGATACTGTACATTGCATACAATATGATGACATGTATGTTTAATATAAAAAATATGGGTAACCATTACAGAACTTAAAATATAAGAAGTATCCTTTTTTTATGGCTGGACATTAGCGATGCACAGTACCATTGACTGCCTGTCTGATCTGATCCCAAATAAAACCCAGTACTGATACTCTGTCCAAAAAACAACGAGGGAAAAGAAATGGGTCTATAGAGGAGCTATAAGGTATATTTATAAGAGATTTCTGCTTTAATTAACAACAAATGGTGTCATCCTGGTTGGGGCGGCTGTGGCTCAGGAGGTAGAGCGGGTCGTTTCCTAACCGGAGGATTAGCGGTTTGATTCCCGGCTTGTCCAGTCAACATGTCGAGGTGTCCTTGAGCAAGACACTGAACCCCCAGTTGCTCCCGGTGATGTCACCAGTGTGTGAATGTTTGGGAGTGCGAATGGGTGAATGGCCAAATAGTGTGAAAGCGCTTTGAGTGTGCTGTAAAAGCATAGAAAGGCGCTATACAAGTATAAGACCATTTACCATAACTGTGAAAGGGTGTTTCCATAGTCATGATTTTGAACTGTAGCCGTGGGACAACATTTATACTACATACCCAGGAAGCTTTCATATGCCATCATGGTTGTTGTTTACATCCCTCCTCCTGGCAAATGCACGTGACATCTAGTCTGTTACCATGAGACTCCAGACTGCACCCCGGTGCTTTCTTGTAGTTCTTGTATTGTATTTCTTGTATGATTATAGGCTAAAACTTACACAATCTGGAGCAACTGTTAAACAGCTATTTCCCTGTGGAGATTAATAAAATGTAGTCTGATTCTCAGTAGCTAATGCGTTTACAGAGCAGTAGTTTGCATAATACTGTGGCAGGTGGAAGGAGAAGTAGTTCCTGTTTGTTCCACTTGTACACATTCTCCTTCTGATTCACTTTTGTGTGAAATGTAATCATTTTTTTTGCTATGGCTCTCCACACAGCAACACAAGAAATATATTTTAATGATTTTGTGTCACTGTGTAACACTGAATATTATGGAGTGTTGGCTGAAACTTTTCATCCTTGTAGACAAAAGAAGCTTCCTTTGCTAGCATAAACTGGCCACCCTGGTCAAGGGCAGATGCCAGTTACTCAGAAGCAGCTGTCTCCTGCTGCTCTGTGTATGCACCAGTACAGCGAAGAGAGACGACTGTAGCTGCCCGAAGAGGGACTGTGACTGAAAAAACAATGTTATGTCTACCTGTTTACAACTCTTTCTTGTGTGATAGCAGAAAAAAAAACATGCTCATTTCCACAATTTTATATTCATGGGTATTCTTGTTTTTTGTATTCTTAGGTGATCTTATATTTAGACTAGGTGTTTGTTCTTTTGGCTTTAAACTCTTTACTTGACTCCAGGAGAGCCCTGCAAAAGAATTCATATATGCCTAGACTGTCTGTTTATGCATAAATGGCAAATAAAAATCTTGAATCTTGAATCTCATTTGTAATTATGCCCATCAAAGCATCAGGAAGTGAGGGCTAAGTTCTCTGCAGTGCCAGAGGAAGCTACCAGATATGGTGCAATAAAAAGATACTTTGGTAAGAAAAGATATTTTTATCTCATTTGTTTAGGTCCACCAACCATCCAAGACTCATTCCTTTCCTGAGATGATCATTTTTGGTGCTAACGAGGTGCTAATGAGGACTCTGGGAACTTCTGTTCCAAAGGTGTTTTATGTAATGTCATTTTAGAGATTCTGCAGCAAAATAAAAAGACGTGGTAAGAATAGAGGGGCAGAATGAAAGAGATGGAGAGTGAGAGACAGACAGAGAGAGAAAAGAGTAATGGCTTAAGAGATGAGTAAGGAACAGAGGTGAATAATATCTGTTTTTGGCCTTCCTCTGACAAGTAATGTCCTTGGTCATCAGAGCATTTGCATTCCGTCTCACTCTCCATCCTGCTCTCCATTTCTCAAAAAGGTCTTGTTCATTTTTCCACCCCTAAGCTTGTTTCAGGAAAAAAGCTTGTCAATACCGATGAGGGTCACAGTAGTTCACTCTTTAACCAGGGGGGAAAACAGAAGAAAGGCAAAAACAAAAAAAAGAAAGGTCCCACTTGTGGTGTTATCTCATAATGAAATGTGTTTGTCTTTCTAGCTGATAAACGGCTGAATGCTGGTGCTTCTGAAAGTGTCTCTGCTGTGACTGTTTAGTGTGTGTTTGAGTGTGGCACATTTACCCCAGGAACACATCACAACACCAGCTCTGCAGCATTCCCATTTCATTCCCTAGACCCAGCGATTAACTGCACGCTTGAGGCAAATCACCTTGTTATATGATCTAATGGGAAAAACACAAAATCACAAAAATACTCTTTTTTTTTTGTTGAGGGAACAGAAGACTTCCCTCCCCAATCTCAGTGGGAATCAGCTCAATGAAAAGAAATTGGTGGTTTTGAACAGAGCGATAAACAAGACTAGAAAGTGTACCTGTGTTCATGAGACTGTCTCATTTGAACTTTCTAAAAGGCAGAGTTATTGCAATTGTCTGTGTGGGGGATGTGTGTTAAGTACTTGTGTATACAGCTTATTTATGGATGTGTAAGCCCTATGATAGATTGACAAACTATCTTTGGTTGTTCAGGTGGACATTCAAAACCTAACAACTCCAACCAGTACAAACTATCTCCAAGTTGAACTTGTGCAGGCTGGCTGACCGAAGTTAGTAGGCTCAGCTCACTGTTGCAACAAAGAAAATCCTTCTGGTAGAATGGTTATGCACACAGTAACTAAGTACATTTACTTAAGTACAGTTTTGAGGCACCTGTAGTTTACTTGAGTATTTTCATTTTCTGCTACTTCATACTTTGTCTTCACTACATTTCAGAGAAAAATATTGTACTGTGTACTCACTATATTTATTTGATAACTTTAGTTACTAGTTACTTTTCAGAGTGAGGTTTATAAAACAAAGTACAGTATAATCATAAGATTTATTGATCCTTGGTGTAAAATTCACAAGCAACCCAGCAGTAATTAAAATTTCACTATATGCTTACAATTAGCTCTACCTTTACCAGATGCAACATTAAATGTGATGTACACAATAATAATAACTGAATAATATGATGTACACCAATGTAAACTGTGGCATTTTGTATAAGGAGTACCTTTATCTTTGGTACTTTAATTATATTTTATGTTAATACTTTTAATCAAGTAAGAATTTCAGGAATGCAGTTACACTTTAACAGAGTATTTCTACACTGTGGTATTGCTGCTTTTACTTAAGTAAACAATCTGAGTACTTCTTCCACAACTTCACAGGAGGGATTGAACAACAAACGTGCGTGCTGAAAACTGAAATCATTATGACAGTGACAGATACCAAGCACTGTTGGGACATTTGTCACCAGTCTTAAAAAGTATTTGTCTGAGATTACAGTAAAAGCAGCTGGAACATTTGGAATCCATCTATTGATGCAGCAGCTGACAGGAGAAAACAAAAGCAACAACAAAAAAACTGGCTTAACTACAGTATAATAGCAACTATAATTCACCCTGCAGTGATGCATTTAGGAAAAACTTCACACAGGATTTGTTAAAAGCAGGTCTACTGATGCTGATTTATAACTGATGAAGGGTCACTAAATCCACTGTGCAGGTTGGTGTTGCAGTTTCTGTAGCATCTAATTTCAAAACAGGAAAGATGCCTCCGAAGGGAAACAGTGTGTTAGGCTGTCAGTTGATAGTGTGAGTGTGTGTGTGTGTGTGTGTGTGTGTGTATATCTGAGTTGTGAGGACAGCTGGCAATCTGGCCTCTGTTCACTACAAAAGGGAGACGGCCGGTTCAGAAAAAGAAAGCGTGTGCGCGTGTGTGTGTGCGCCCGTGTCTATCAATCTATGTGTCTGACTGATGTATGTTACTGTGTGCTAAAAAAACACTTTCAAACAGTTCATTACCCAAGCAGTTGGAAAGCCATTTGCCAGACAGGGAAAGGGCTGTTAATAAGATTAAAATCTCACA